TGTACAGTTTCATCCTGTGATCCTGGCTTTATGAAAAACACTTTCTCAGGAATTGAACTAAAAATGTTTGAAAATGTGACAACATCTACTAAATATGAACACATGGAGATTCTGCTTGACGGAGCAAAACATGCAAATGATTCTTGAATTTTTGTAAACCATTCTAAATAAACACGTAAGAGCAAAAAATCAAGTTGAGTTTGTGAAAAGGAAAATAGAGGCTGACAATATGTGGCAGTTAAAAAGAAATTGTACTGTAACTAATTTAAGAAAAATTTAACTACCTTATAAGAACCCAAGTATAAATACACCCTGCATGTTAATAGTGATTTTATTGTCATGGCAAATAAAATGAACAATGCTCATTTTAGATTTTTGGGAAAAAATATAGTATTTTTTAATTTATATCTTATCTCAAAAAATCAAGATGATTTTGATTAAAACATGTCCTTCATAGGGAAAATGTCTTACTTACTGGGGAAAAAATGTGGACAAATCATTTTTCATGAAGTAACTTGCTTGCTCTACATTCTGCTTTAAAAAAATATATGCAAGCAAGACAAAAACAAAGAACCACTGACGAGAGTGTCTTTCTTTGCTGCCCTGTTTTCTTGACAACCACCAGGTACTTCCTCCATCCCTCCCATCCTCTGGAAGATCTGTCAAATCTCATTCAGTCTAAATACATTAAGAAAAGTTAAGAATTAATGAAAAGAACATGGAATTACTTTGTTAGTAACTGCTCTAAAATTTATTCTAATCTATTACAGTTAAAATAATAGTAGATTAAAGTTTCTTAATAAAGAATTTAAATAAAGTGTATTTTATGCTCCAATTTGGTTAAGCCTGAAAATGATTGTAAAAAATAATAAAAATGGAAAAATATAAATATGAAACACAACAGAATCATTGACAATGAAATTATAAGAGGAATTAAGAGACTAGCCATGGAATGGAACACAGATAAATCAAAAGCCATATATGATCATACAAGCTTTTGACAAGAGCATTTTATGATCTCCTGTGCTGACAAATTTAATTCAATGGTAATATATTATATTCAAAGTGAATATATTCAAAGTGAATATATTAAATTGAATAATGTACTTAAATTTTTAGAATTGAAAAGTTTATACTTACTTTCATAATAAGTTTGGTATTTGATCAACTGGACAGTGGTTCTGTTTCTATGGCATCTTCTTTGGGCAATTTACTTAGATATACAATTACTTTTAAAAATATAATTTAAAAATACAAATTTCTCCAACACATAAGAATCAGTTCTCTCCTGAAATACTATGAAAAACAATGAGAAAATTTACCATTCTATTTAAATATGTTTCTTAATCACAACTTTTATTTTACATTTAAACTATTTTTACCAAGTAATGTCAGATATTTGAAGGGAAAAAGTATATAAAATAGGCATAGCTTTCCAAAGGAATTAAAACTATATTCAGAGCTTTTAAAAATATTTGAAAACATTTTATAAATTCTTGGGAAGTCAATTCCAGTTAAAATATATTTTTCACCTACAATGTGATTAAAACAGACACAAAATAGTACATTAGCTTCTGAGGATAATGACCTAACAAATTAAAACTCTTTAAAAAAAAAAAAAGTAAAGAGCAAGAATTAAAATGCTAAGTCATCAGTGGTTTCTTCCCTTGATGATATAATTTCGCCCAAGATCTGCTTAGAATGAAGCTCTGTTTCTAACAAGGGAAGGAAGTGGCATTTTACTACTGGCCCATACACAGGGAACAAGGCATAAAGCCCCTAAGTTTATTGAAATGTGGAACACATTTATCCCAACTTCCAAAGGCTATTCAACTTCAACTTCAGCTTAACAAAAGGTAGAAAGTGGTTTTTGAATATCATACTCCTAGTGAATCCATTTAGCCTAGATTATTAAAGATGCTCTTTGGAATTGTAGTTTCCCAGGCAAATTATTTGTTTAATAGTGTGACTCGTTGATCATTCCCAACAGGTACATATAGCCAGATATCTAGTACAAAAGAGGAGGGCTTTTGTTTTGTTTTCATTTTGTTTTGCAGGGAAACATACTAAAAGGGAACCTGATGTTTGTCATACTCTCCATCTTCACGATAATATATTTCAGTAATGTCTGAAAATGACTTTAAGCAACCAGACTCAACAAATTTTAAACAAGCCCATTCCTGACATTATTATATAACATAAACCTGTTTGTCAAAGCATGGGAAATTACTGGGCTTGGATCTAACCTTAGAAAATCATTAAGAATCACATCACATACTTCATCTAAACTGCAAAGCACCTTAGTAGGTACATAATAAATATTTAAATATATTTGACTTTGGATTTCCACAAACTATTTCTGGGATAGTTTAAACTGCCAGCAGGAAATATTACATCTTGACTTTCTCATGCCCAACTGCTGCTAAGTTACTTCAGTCGTGTCCGACTCTGTGCGACCCCATAGATGTCAGCCCACCAGGCTCCCCCGTCCCTGGAATTCTCCAGGCGAGAACACTGGAGTGGGTTGCCATTTCCTTCTCCAATGCATGAAAGTGAAAAGTGAAAGTGAAGTCGCTCAGTCGTATCCGACTCTTTGTGACCCCATGGACTGCAGCCTACCAGGCTCCTCCGTCCATGGGATTTTTCAGGCGAGAGTACTGGAGTGGGGTGCCACTGCCTTCTCCACATGCCCAGCTACAGGTATACCTTCTGCTGTGACCCTTACACTATCTGTAAATAATAACAGAAATATCATTTGTGCTAGTAATATATTTTAAAATGGATGGAAACAAATGACAATATTTGATAAACTGTACAGTAAGCTTGTTTATTAAAACTAAAGATTTCTAATCAAATAGAAGGGTTTGGGAAATAGTTACAATGTAACATTATCAGTTTATCCTTGCTTTCATTTGTAATAGTTGATAAAATATAGAGATTTCAACAAATTATATACTGTGTCTTCAAACTGTGACCACCACTATGAAAAAGGTGAAGTAAGTAGTTTGTCATGATTGTCTTTGAATTCAGGAAAAGCTCTTGAACATGTTCAACATATATAAGTGAGAAACATTATTTTCATAATGTCCATAAAATAACAAAAAACAATCAATATTTATTATAAGATTGTGTAGAATTTTAGGAAGCCTTTCATCAGGGAAAGAAAACTCCAAATGACAATAAATATGGTCTAACTTTAAGAATTTTCCTTAATGCAGAAGAAAAAGAACCTAAAATTAAAACTGTTATTAGAAGCAGTTGAAAGCAGGCAGGAACTGAAGCTGTGCCTTTCAGTCTTGGCTATTGTTATATTATTGCAGAGTCCCATAGGCAATTCTCACATGTACAGTACATCCTGGATCTTTCGGTTCTCTTTTGTCCGCCCTCCAACCTGCACGGCCAGGAACCTTCAGCCAGGAAAGATTTATGGAGCTCCCACTAACGGGGTCAACCCTGTTTTATCACCAGAGGCCTTCTTCGTAAAAATAATAACATCCATCTACAGCTCTGTTGGGCCGATTCTCTTGGCACCAACATTTTGTGTTTATCTTAACAACCAGTGTACACTCAAAGCCCCTGGTTGCAACGAGCACGGTCATCAATTCTGCTGGGCACAGTAGCCCTGACTCCTGCGGTTTGTCAACCCAATGTCATCTAAGGTAATGAATAGTTCAGAGTGTGTGTCCACTTCAAAAGGTTGATAGGGTTTGCAGTTTGAGGTGAAGATCATGCTTTTTAGGAAGAAGAATTTGCAACAAAGAAAGCAAACCTACTTCAGCATAATCATGAGTAAATGACCTCAGTTACAACGGTGACAATTTAAAATATTACAGAAAACTAACTGGAAGAAAGCTAAAATATTTTTTTTAATCATTTTTAGAACTGGTGCTACTCTATGCACGTGGCACTCAGAATTGGAAGATGTCTAATTTGAGGGTATTTATCAACAAGTTATTTCAATGTAATCTTTGTTCTACCTTTAGAAGGCTTCCCTAAGCTATTTTAAAATATTAGATTTATATAAAAATAGTCTCCTGAGTTGTAAACATTACATACTTTTAGAGGAGCAAAACTCACTTTTAGCAATTTAGTACTTGGGATATTTTATGGATCAACTAAATTATTGTTTCTGAAATGTTGATAATTTATTTAAATCATTCCTTTTACTTGCTGGTAGTATAAATTTGTGAGATTTTACAAAATGTTTTGGGATTTCCTCTTGGAAAGGAATGTGCATAAAATCCAAAGAAATGCTCAATATTTTATTATAATTGCATAAAGTAGTTCTCTCAGAAAGATCGTTCTTAACAATCTTAATCCCCTGTGTTATGATGAGAGAGGCTTTTCATGGGTATTTGGCCAAAGGTTTTTTTCTAGAGTTAATACTCCCACTCTTCTTCCCTAAGTGTCTTGGGATTTTTAACATCCGCAACACAGACAGGAACTTGGTTTTATGCCTCAAGAAAAGAATGGATCTTTTTTCATATAATAATCTGCAGTGCAGTTACCAATGAAAAAGTAATATTGTGCACCATAAACTGAACAATCTGCAAGGAACATTTTAGTAATAGACAATTCTAAAAGCAGGGAGCATACGGAATTTAAATCAAGTAAAGAAGGAAACCAATACATGAAAATAAAAAAGAATCCCACCATTTCTTACACGAAATAAATTAGGGAGAGGGGAATGGAATACGGTTGTCTGCCCCAGACTGAGCTCATCAGAAACTCAAGACTTAAAAAAAAAAGTCTTATAATTTAAAAATCAAAATTTATAAGATGCTTGAAGACAGTTAAGTAAACACCTATAATTGATGAAAGGAGTTATTAATGCTAGCTTAGTTCAGGAATCAATACTTTGGTAAGAATGTCACCTACCAACAGGATTTTATGCCAGGAGGAGGCATAAAGGAGAATCCTGATGGTTCAGTGTCCCATCTGAAAACTGAGAACTCTAATCTGCTCAGTCTTAATGGCTAGGTAGGATTACATGTACTTACTATGTCTTTCATTTCTTAGTGTGTTAATCAACAAAGATGAGTCAAACAATAACTCTATGTCCAGGCCCTGGAATACACAGAAATAATGGAGAAAAAGTCCCTATTAACCAGAATCTCTTGGTATAACTAGGGGGACAAACATATGAGCAAGTAATAATTTTTCAATGTCATGTGTGTGAAATAGAAAAATAAACTAATGTGGGTATTATGAGATAAACAGTGCTAGGAACAGCTTCAATCCCACAGTGATCTTAACATCACTTGCTGAAGTGGTCTCACTGGTATTTATTCTATTTGCTCTCCATTAGTTATGAGACTGAAAATAAGTAAATTCACCCATGTCTGCTATTAAACACTTAAATATAATCCTTATTATGTGTCATACCACAAAGTAAGCACTATATATAATGTTCTAAAGAGCTGAACAATATTAACTTATTTATTTCACTTCATCACACTAGTAACAAAAAATGAAGTACCATGACTCAAGGCTACATTTAAACAGCACAGTCTAGGATGACATCTCAGAGGCAAATGGATTCCCTTATGACATGTTTTAAAGACAAGGCATTCATTCATTGATGCAAAAGTCACACTTCTGTATTTGTAAGAACCGAAGAGCACACCACAGGAAATCTAGAAGATGGAGACAAAAGACTTCTCTCTTGGTGATTTTTTTAATATTTGGAGTGAATAAAAAATGTAATTCTTAAGAGAGGAATTAAATGGTCATTTTCTGAATCTTAGAATCAGAAAGACTAAATAAAATATATCATCTTTTTGGGGGGGCAGGGGGGGCCAGGGTATGCCATGTAGCTTGTGGGATCTTTGTTCCTCAACCAAATATTGAACCCAGACCCTTGGCAGTGGAAGCACAGTCCTAACCACTGGACCACCAGGGATTTTTCAAGTCTATTATCTTTCAGCTGGTTGGGAGAAGCAGAGATATTGTCCTGGCTTCATGCCAATTACTCTAGTTAGCCAAAGCTATGAATATTTGCACTACAGTTCAGAACAAACGATCTAGTCCCTAAGACCTTGCATGGTGGCAACACTGACAGTGATGGTCCTAAAACATCATACTTTACTTTGTGGTAAAATAAAAACTAACACAACACGGTAAAGCAACTAAACTCCAATACAAATTCATAAAAATAAACAAATACAAAATAAAACATCATATTCTGAAGCATCTTCTGCATTCTAAGCTGCTTTCAAAGAAAACATTTTATTTGATATTCATTCCAGGATTGTATATAGAGCTAGATGTGTTTATCATTTGGGGAAACTGAATCTCTGTGAAGTAAATGACTGTGAGGTGAAATATATAGCAAGTACTTGACTGTCAAAGACTAGTCCTTTTTACACTCTTCTCCACACCAGGGTTGTTAGTCTGGCTCCTCTCTAGAGATAAAACTGTTCTTCTACTGAGCTAACAAGATAGATAAATGCTACTTACGGACACTTGTAGCAGTTCCTTTTGAGGCCTGATACAAGTAATAATAATAATGATGATGATGATCATTATTCACTCACTAGCAATGGAAATATTCTGATTTTCTATAGAGCTACCAAAGTTCTGTGGAGGCCAGAAATGGAATCATCCAGAATTGCAGTTTCTAAATTATTCCTTAGGTAACCCAGGCCCCTCACAGCTATACTTAACGTCTGCCTGATACCATACAAATTACTAACTCTGAAGGAGGAAATAGACAGAACAGGCTCCATCTTGAAAGCAGGACTCCATCTTGGGCCGGACTGGGGACTTGGAGCTATAAGCCCAGTATCTATGGAAACGACATACCAACCGGAAAACCAGACCCCCGGAAGGAAGAGCCCCAGGGCTCATAGACTCTCCCTCGCCTAAAAGGACACCCGAATTATCTGTGTAACTGAATAGAATCATACCTTCTATTATGCTTACTGGGGTATGACCACAGGCCTATTGATAATCGTCCACTGTTAACTACCTAGGCTTAAGGCATATGATCACAGGTTAACTTTTTATTGTCTCTTTCTTTTCCTTTGTTCAGACTAGTTTCAGGGAATCTGGGGAGGTGGGTTTGGGCACGTACACTTAGGGAACAGAAGGTTTTCACAAAATCTGGTCGGGGTCCTTGGCTAGGAGGAGACTCTGCCTTGGGCCTGCCGGTGTAATAAACTGCACTCCACTATCTGTATTGTCCTTCTGAGTGAGTTTGTTTCGTGGAACACGTGGCTATGACAAATCAAAGCATTCATAGTTCCAACGTTACATTGCACTACATTTCTTTCTAAGACATCCTGTCTTCGTGAAGTGGGATTTTCATAAAACACAAGTACCATGCCTAATGCAATATAGAAAAGGAAATGAGAGCATTGGTGTACAATCTGATTCCCAGATCTGAGAAGCTGTGCAGTGCCCAATAGACACACGTATCCCATTAGGAAGTAATTGTGGTTGTTTAAGAATGAAATAAATGTCTTCAATTCATATATCTTACTTTTTCAAACAGCTACTAAGTTGTTAGGACATAAATACGTTTAAGTTGATTTGACCTAACTGCCTAATAAACAGAATGGCTGGCTATTTCTCCTAGCCTAGGGATGCTATGAAAAAGTAACTGAGACACTAACATCATCTTAAGCCAAGAACTTTGGGAACTTCTGTTTAGAAGTTCAGAATGAGTCTAAATTTCTTAGTAAATGGCTTCTTCAGGTTCTTCTATTAGGGAAAAGGAATAACTTTGTAAAATGGAGAAAGTAACTGCATTATATTCAACTCTCACAAAATAGTGGATGTTGACCTTGTGATAAACTAAGCTATTTTTCTTTTAACAAAAATGGAATATGTTCACATAGTAAAATTCAAATAATCCAAATGCACTACCATTAAAGAATATCCATTCCATTTTACTCCCAAAGCTCCCTGAATGGGTTTGAACACAAATATTTCTGATGTTCTTTATGTTTTTTCTTACTTAAATTTTTATAACATTAAACACTTAATCATCTTCTCCTTTTGTTATTATTTTACTGGATCACTGGTTCAATAAAGGGAAGGAACTTCTTTACCTAGTTCATTGTTTTCCCAATATCAGTAAAGTGCTTGGGACCTAGTAGGCATGAAATAAATACATGTTGAATTAATAGAAAGAGGAAGGAAGGAAGGAAGGAAGGGAGGAAGAGTGCTTCCAAAATCCTCCCTTAATTCTGGTCCTTTTAAACCTTTATCGTCCAGTCCTGCTTTGGGTTTGGTTCTGTGTTTTGTTTTTCTGCCCAACCTTTGGCCTTCTACAAATGAAACTTGCCATGTCTGACTTCATCACTTTCTTCTTTTATTATGAGATAATTAGGATGCTTCTCAAGTGTTAGGTACTATAACCAATGCTGCATAACAGCTTTCCAATTATTTCCTTAGTATAGATGTCTGAGTAGAAATTTTCTTTTAAACCTCATATATAAACATGTTAGGCATGCTGAATTGCTCTAGTAAAGGTTTATATCATAGCTTTATTTATTCTTGTTTCTATAAAATCTTAACCTTAGTTAAAAACTGCAGACAAGGTATAATGAAGTCCCATGTAATCATCACCCACACTCATCAATTTTTTGCACTTGCCTCATTTGTTTCATTATCCTCTCCTTTTCTCTCTCTCTTCTGTGCATGGGCACACATACATGTACACGCTATAGATTGTTTTCTGACCATTTATTAGTAACTTGGAGGCCTCATGTTTCTTTACCCCTAAACCTTTCCATGTATATTTCCTAAACCAGTATATTTACTTACATAATCCCTGTACAAAGATCAAAATCAGGACATGATTTTACAGATACTTGTAATGCATGTTTCTTATTTCCTCCTTAACACTAAATTAAGGCTCTTAAATTCAATGACTGAATCCCACAGCACACATACCTTCAGAATCTGGCAGAGTCCATTACTCATAGCTGGGACCAAGTAAATGCGTCCTGATTACTTTCTTAAAGCAAAGAGAAAAGGCCTCTCCTGAGGCACTGCTCGATCAGGTTTTCTGAAAGCAAAGGCTCATCAAAATTAAAACGTAAGGAGTTCAGGGTATTTGAGCACAGCTATTCACAGGCGGAAGCACATGAGAAAACTGAACTTAGTATCAGATCGAGCGCATTATGGTTGATTATATTCCTGCTACAATTAAAACAATTACTTCATTTAAAATTAATGCTCTCTAAATATGTTTAATGACTGAAATGAAAACGGGCAATTATAGAATAAATACATGCAATGATGTTGGAGTATGTTTATACTAATCATCACAAATCAGCTGAAACAGCTGTGGTGACCACTCTAAGTCAGGCTCCAGTGAAGTGGTTCACAGCCCATCTAGCAAAGGTGCTTCTGGACCAAGCTCCAGGTGGACAAAGCATGCTCACTGGGACTGGAGGTCTGAGCAGAGAAAATGTGGCTTTCTTCCTCAACAGTCTTGACAACTATACAAGAAAGTAGCTAGCTTACAGAAAATAGCAAAGGCAAAGCAGTTTAGCAGCGGCAGTGTAGGAGGCCACCATACAAACACCACTGAATGTTTGCTCAGTTGTGTCTGACTCCTCGTGACTCCATGGACTGGAGCCCAGCAGGCTCCTCTGCCCATGCGATGTTCCAGGCAAGAATTGGAACAGGTTGCCTTTTCCTACTCCAAGGGATCTTTCAGACTCAGGGATAGAACCAGGGTCTCTTGTGTCTCCTGCATTGGCAGGCAGAGACTTTACCACTAGCGTCACCGCCAAATGCATGAATAGCCTCAACTAAGATGTAAAAGACCTTGAATCCAGAGTTCCATTTTATAGGAGCTTACAAACACAGTCACAACCTACCAGACTAAATACAATATCTTAAAAATATTATAATACTGATGCACAGCCACTTCCCTCTTGTGACTCTATTGACCAATATTTATAAATTGGATGTAGAGGCAGCTGTCACTAATTATAAATAAATTCTAAATAATGTTGCCTTCCATTCAATGCTTCTAGGACTTCAGAAATTTTAGCATGGCAGTAGAATCTGAAGTATGACTTTTCTTTTGTTTACCTTAGTAAGTGAAACTTTGGCAAATACACTCTCATAATCAAAAATAAAATCCCCCACTATTGATGCATTGATGCCCTTTGCTAGTACACACTTTATTTTTATAGCATTTTGCCCCATGCATCAAATTTTTAGGTTTCTGGAACCTTAAATTCCAGGACACAGAAGGCTCTGGTTGCTCCTCTAAGCTGTAAAACTCCCCCTCTTCTTCTCAAGCTAACTTGAGTGCCCCATAGGATTTGGCATTCTTCCAAACACTGCCCCTTCCCCTTCAAGTTTATGCTCAAAAGTATTTCAAAGATCATTTCGTCCATATGTTTCTGATTCATTTACCCTTATGTCATCAAAATACTGTTTGCTTAGAATTACTTGATGCCCAAGTAGTCTTACCAAATTAGCTCATACAACATTTTTTTTCTTTAACAGAGGAGGGATTTTGTAAGTCTTACACAGTAACTAAAGGGGAAAAGTGGTTTTGATTTTAAATTCCTATAGCCCAGAGCTTCCTATATCTCTATTTTTTAGCACATCTATTGTCTAGGGCTGCTCAGGCTGCTATGCCAAAATACCACAGACTGGACATCTTGGTAAATGAGATATTTCTCAGAGTTCTAGAGTCTGGGAAGTTCCAGGTCAACGTGCTGGAGGATTTGGTTCTTGGTGAGAGCCCTCCTCCTGGCAGGCAGCCAGCTGCCTTACCACTGTGTGCTCACACCACCAGCTCCAGCACATGGGCCCCTTCCTCTTTACAGGGCTACAGTCCCATAGTGAAGTTCCTACTCTCATGACCTAAAATAAACTTAATTTTCTCCCAAAGGTTCTACCTCCAAATACTAGCATATGAGAGGTTAGAGCTTCAACATATGAATTTTGGGAGAATACAAACATTGAGTTCTTAACATCTACAAAACACATCTAAACACATTAAAGAAGCAATATTATTGAATACTGTCTCACATAGCCTGGGCTACATGCAAATATCATCACACTTATCCTTACGATAAGTGGTAAGACTCCAACTCCCATGGGAGCAGACTCCCATCTTTGGAGGGTAATGACACAGGCAATGAATAACAAATTACTACATTTCAGATAGAGATTCTCTTTAGCAAAGGGGAAGTATGTTTACTGTCTCTTATAAAAGGGGGATCGGGATCGGATGGGGAATACATGTAACTCCATGGCTGATTCATGCCAATGTATGACAAAACCCACTGCAATGTTGTGAAGTAATTAGCATCCAACTAATAAAAATAAATGAAAAAAAAAAAGACTTGAGTTCCCTAAGATCAAAGTCCCTCTCTTGCAGAGTAACTCACTCTGTGTTCTGACATCACCTGACACTCTTCCTGGCTTGTAGGAATCAGGGCTGGAGGATCCAGTGGAAATGCTAATACCTAACCTAGTGCCACCTCATGTGAAGAGTTGACTCATTGGAAAAGACCCTGATGCTGGGAGGGATTGGGGGCGGGAGG